TCCCTGGAGACCCACCAGCAGCAGGGGTGGGGAGACATGGTTCTGCAGGTTTGGCTGGGCCATCTGGGAGGAAGGAGGGGGCTAGTTTGGGGTGTCTCACCCAGGCTTCCTCCCTGACAGGTCCCCCTTTCCTGTCCCTGTCTCAGCAGAGGGTGAAGGCTTCTGCTTCTCAGGACCCCCTGTGCCCCCTCAGCTGCCCCCCAACAGACACAGCCCCTCCTCACAAGGCTGCAGGTGAGCAGCTCAGGGACTCTGCTTCCCCCTACCCCCCATCTCCCCTTCTCTTCTCCCTCTGCCTCTGTCCAACCAAATGTTATCCAGGAGGCTGCTCCTGACAGAGGTGCTGTGAAGTGCCCTCAGCCCTGGCTCTCCAGGGAAACCCACATCCCCTGGTTTCCATAGCACTGTCTTATCCCCAAGTGTCTTCGCTTAGTGCTGGAGGCCCTCCCCTGCCTCTCCTCTCCCTCCCTCCTCGTCTTGTGCTTTCTTTTCTTACATATCTTTCCCTCTGGCAGTTTCCCCTCCTTTAAAATTATTACCTTTTGCTCATTTTTTATTATGATAAAATTTATTGTTAATTGTTTGATTATTGAATTTTCAAAATACCATTGCTTTAAATCCTTTAAAATAGGTGTACAGGGCCTCCCCGGTGGCGCAGCGGTTGAGCGCTGGGTTGCGAAGCTGCCCGCGGCCTCTGCGGCGCCGGTTCGATCCCCGGCTGCTCCCCGGCCACCGGCGGAGGATCCCACATGGCGCGCAGACCTCTCCTGCCGCCCGCTGCTCCCCTCAGCAGTGTACTTCGGTCCTTCTGCCTGCTCTGCTCCCCGCTCTGGCTCTGGTGAATTCTCTCACCCTCCCGCGCTTCTGACTGTACCCAGTGCATGTATAAACAAAACAAAACAAACAAACAAAATAAATAAATAAAACATGCCTCTATAAAAAAAATAAAAAATAAAAAGATTTAAAAAAAAAAAAATAAATTAAAAAAAAAAAATAAATAAAAAAAAAAAAAATAAAATAGGTGTACAGTATAGGGTCTCCCTGCTCAGGTGTCATCACTGTAGCTCTCCACCCCCCAGGCACCCATACCCTCTTCCATAATCCATCATGCTCTTGCCCCATCCCACAATTTTGACATTGTTGATTCTTGCAAGCAGGAGCCAGGAATATATTTCTATTTCTTTGTGTCTTCTCTTTCTTTTAACAGTGTTTTATACCTTTCCTTGTACAGATCCTTTACTTTCATTGTTAGGGTTATTTCTAGGTTTGTAACTTTTTTGGATGAGAATGTACATGGGATGACATACAACATATGCTTGTATGCGTTCTCCTTTCATGTGTAGTTCCCATGAAATTCCCAGCACCAATTCATCTGCGAATCATCACCATAGTCCCTTGTGCTCTTCTCTCCCTTGTTTTGATTCCTCTTGCTCCTACTCCCTTGTAGAATATCTCAGATTTATAGCTGCCTGATAATTTTGTTTTATTATTATTTATTATTGTGATTTTTTTTCTGATCCTTTAATTGTTTAACTTATATTCCTATACAAGTGAAATCATTCACTATTTTTTTTTCCTTTCTGGCTTATTTCACTGAGCATCCATCCATTTTGCTCCATCCATGTTGCTGCAAATGGCATAAGTTTATCTTTTTTGATTGCTGAAAATAGTCCATTTTTCTATGTACCACATGTTCTTGATCAAGTTATCTCTTATTGTGCTTTTGGGTTGTTTCCAGGTTTTACCTATTGTAAATAGTGCTGCAGTAAACATAGGGTATCCTTTTGAATTCATGTTTCTGTGTCCTTTGTGTAGATTCCTAGGAGTGGAATTGCTAGGTTATACGGAAGCTCCATTTTTAGTAGTTTGAAGAATCTCCACACACCTTTCCATAGAGGCTGAACCTGAACCAGTTTGCACTCCCACCAGCAGTGTAGGAGAGTTCCTTTTTCTCCACATCCTCACAAACATTTGCTGTTGCCTGTTTTTTAATATGTGCCATTCTCGCTGTATCTTATTGTGTTTTTGATTTGTATTTCCCTGATTTCAAATGATGTTGAACATTCTTTTCATATACCTGTTCGCCATTTGCATTTCCTCTTTGCATAAGTGTCTCTTGAGTTGTTCTGCCCATTTTTTGACGAGATTGTTTTATTTGTTTTTGTTGAGACGTGTGTGCTATTTGTAGATCTTTGTGATTAGTCCCTTATCAGTTGTATTGTGTGCAAAAATTTTCTCCCAATCAGTGGGGTGTCTCTTTTTTTTTGGTTACTGTCTCTTTTGCTGTGCAAAAGCTCTTTAATTTGATGCAGTCCCAGCTGTTCACCTTTGTCTTCACTATCACTGCTTTGGGTGATGTCTCTTTAAAGATGTTACTCAGATGTATGTCATGTAGTGTTTTGCCTATATTTTCTTCTATGTATTTTATGGTTTCAGGTCTTATGTCCAATTATTTTATCCATTTTGAGTTGGTTTTTGTGCATGGAGTGAGGTAGTAGTCTAGCTTCATTCTTTTGCATGTAGCAGTCCCGTTTTCCAAGCACAATTTTTTAACCAACTGCCCTTGTTCCAGTACATATTCTTTACTCCTTTGTCAAAGATTAGTTGCCCATAAATATGTAGGTTTATTTCTGGGACTTTATTCAGTTCCATTTGTCTGTTTATCTGTTTTTGTTCCAGTACCATACTGTCTTAATTATTATGGCTTTGTAGTATGCCTAGTATGCCCAGTTTGAGGTCTGGGAGTGTGATGCCTCCATTCTCCTTCTTTTTAGTCAGGAGAGCTTTTGCTATTTGAGGTTTTTTGTGGCTCCACATGAATTTCATCAATATTTGTCCTATATCTTTGAAGAATGACATTGAAATTTTTATTGGAGTAGCATTGATCTGTTAATTGCTTTTGGAAGGATGGCCATTTTGATAATGTTAATTCTTCTAATCCAAGACAACAGGTGTCTTTCCATTTCTTTGTGTTTGCTTCTATTTCTTTTAACAATGTTTTATAATTATCTTTATATAGGTCCTTCACCTCTTTTGTTAGGTTTATTCCCAAGTATTTGATTTTTTTTTCAATTATAACAGGGATGATTTTCTTGATTTCTTCTTTAGATTGAATGTTTGCATATAGGAAGGCTACTGTTTGTGTGTTGATTTTGTATCCTGTTATTTAGCTAAACTGGCCTATATTTTTGATTAGTTTTTCCTGAGGAGTTTTTGGGGTTCTCTATGTATATGATCGTATCGTCTGCAAATAGTGATAGTTTTACTCCTTCTTTCCTGATTTGGATTCCTTGTATGTCTGTCTCTTGTCTTATTTCTCTGGCTAGGACCTCCAGTATTATATTGAAGAGCTGTGGTGAGAGAGGACATACAGAGGTTTGTTGTATATATTTGGCTTTTATTACATTAAGGTATGTTCCTTCTATCCTGAGAAATTTGAGGGCCTTTATCATAAATGATGTTGAACTTTGTTGATTGTTTTCTCCACATCTGTTGATATCATCATATGATTTTTGTTTTTTTTTTGTTCATGTGTGGAATCACATTAATTGATTTTCAGATGTTGAACCATCCTTGTGTCCCTGGAATAAATCTCACTTGTTTACACTGTATTATCTTTCTTTTTTTTTTTTTTTTTTTTAATAATAAATTTTATTGTTATATTCCCCATACAATTGCAGCCCCCCCATTCTGACCCCAATCCCTCCCCTCCCGCCCCCACCCCCCTAAAAGTGTCTCTGGTTCATAGTTTTTTGTTGATTTTGATTTTCACTTTCTTATAGTTATTCATTTTCCTGGTCCCTTATTTAAGTTTTCTAGATTCCTGCTATGAGTGAGACCATCCGGTATTTTTCTTTTTCTTTTTGGCTTATTTCGCTGAGCATGATCCCTTCCAGCGCCATCCATGTTGCTGCAAATTGCATGTGTTTATCTTTTTTGAATGCTGAGTAATATTCCATGGTATATATGGACCACATCTTCTTGATCCAGTCATCTATTTTTGGGCATTTGGGTTGTTCCCAAAGCTTAGCTATTGTAAACAGTGCTGCTATAAACATAGGGGTGCAGGTGTTCTTTGGAATTGATGTTTCTGTGTCCTTTGGGTAAATACCTAGGAGTGGAATTGCTGGATCATATGGAAGCTCTATGTTTAGTAGGTCCAGAAATCTCCACACAGCTTTCCACATACACTGTATTATCTTTCTGATGCATTATTGCATTCTGTTGGCTAGGATTTTGTTGAGGATTTTTTTTTCCATCAGTGTTTATTAGAGAGATTTGCTTGTAGTTTACTTTTTTGTGTGTTGTCCTTGTTCGGTTTTGGTATAGGTATCATGTTGGCTTCATAGAATGTATTTGGTAGTATTCCTTCCTTTACAATTTTTTTTGAAAGAGTTTGTGTAAGTTAGGCACTAGTTCATTTCTGAATATTTGGTAGAAATTTTTGTGAAACTGGTCCTGCACTTTTGTTTCTGGGGATGGTTTTGGTTACTGTTTCAATTTCCTGCTTGTAATTGGTCTGTTTAGGTGCTCTATTTCTTCTTTATCTAGTTTTGGATGATTGTGTAATTCTAGAAATTTATCCATGTCTTCTAGATTGTTGAACTTATTTGCATATAACTGTTCATGGTAATCTCTGATTATTCTTTTAATTTCTTCTATGTCTATTATAATTTCTCCTCTTTCATTTATGATCCCATTTCTTTGTGTCTTCTCTGTTTTTTCTTTTCTTTTTTTTTTAAGATTTATTTATTTATTTATACAAGCACTGGGTACAGTCAGAAGTGCGGGAGGTTGAGAGAATTCATCATAAGAATCTATAGGAAGTAGACCTTGACCTGGGATTTCATTCTATCAGACAAGATTTCATAAAACCCTTAGAACAAAAGAAAGGATGATGGGGCCTCCCCTGGTGGTGCAGCGGTTGAGCGCTGGGCTGCGAGGCTGTCCACAGCCTGAGCTGTATCCTGATGGGGTCTCTTTGGGGTCTCTGTCTGCAGAGTCCTTCTTCCCCTGGGCCTCTCCCTGGAAGCCGGCTTTCCTAGTGAGTCTGCCCTTGCTGCTGCAACTGCTCCTGGGGGCTGCCTGCTACACCCAGAGAGAACATTCCACATGGATGCGGGAGCTGCAGGAACAGAGGAACCTACATCAGGCTAAGGAGGAGGACAGACAGAACAAGGAGGAGACCCTGAGGACACAGGTAAGGCAGGACAGGGGCCAGGCTGGTGAATGTGGCAGTGGATGCTGAGAGGGACAAGCTGACACCAGAGTCAGAGCCCAGGCCACTCTGCAGTCAGGTCCATTCAGGAGGCTGAGGAGACCCAGAGAGGACAGTGGAGCTTAGATGTTGAATGGGTCTGATGGTGGAACTTATAGGACAGAGGAGGGTCTTTTCTGTTGATTCTCTAGGCTCACAGAGTTTCTTTTCTTTTTTTTTTTAAGATTAATTTATTTATTTACACAAGCACTGGGTACAGTCAGAAGTGCGGGAGGGTGAGAGAATTCACCAGAGCCAGTGCGGGGAACAGAACAGGCAGACTCAGGAAACACTGCTGAGGGGAGCAGGGGCGGCAGGAGAGGTCTGTTGCACCATGTGGGACCCTCGCCAGCGGCCGGGGACGGAACCTGCGATGCAGAGGCTGGGGCAGCTTTGCAGCCCAGCGCTCAACCGCTGCGCCACCGGGGAGGCCCAGATTTTCTTTTTAAGGAGGTAGTTTATGCATATATTTTTCAAACTTTTTCAGATGAACTCCAGGAAATTCTAGGTAAGCTCTGTTCTCCCTCCTGATCTTTCTGTGTCCCCTTCCTGGGAGACATTCTGGTTCTTAGCTCACCTGTTTCCTGTGTTGTCTTTCAGACCAGAGGAAGGCAGCTTACCTGGCTGGTGAGTTAATGCTCCAGGGGTCCTGGATCTCCTGTCCCTGTGCTCAGGTCTCCCTCTACTTGTCAAAGCACAGACATGTGGACCCTTCCCTGGGGTGGAAGTTGTAGCTGGTGGGAGACAGGACCCTGCCTCATGGGCTCTCCCAGATCTGGGTGCTGTTTCCCCCACTGTGGGATCCTGTGGGGTAGTGACCACTGGAATCTTCTGCATCCTGGTCTCATTCCAACTCTGACTTCCCCACCAGAGAAGAGTCTGTTCTCTCTGCTCCTGAAGATGCTGATCAGTAGTGATGGAACAGGGAGTGAGTGGTGGTGGGCTCCCCTAGGGCCACTGGTCTATGATCCTGTGTGGCACATGCTGAGGGGGGCAGGCATGTCCCGTCTAGTGATTAGGACTTGTGAGTGACCCTCCCTCTACAGCCTAGTCAGGGTCTGGGTCTGTCTCTGGTCAGAAAATTAATAAACCTTCTGGCCTCCTTCCTCCTGTCCCACATCCTTGTCCTCACCCATCCTTCCCTCCCTGTCTGCTCTCCAGACCCCTCTCTCCCTCCATCTCCCCCCAGAGCATTGATACTTCGGGGTCCTCATCTGTCCACGCGCTTCATGGGGTCCTGGTGCTCCCTCCAGACCCTTCCCTGCCACAGCCCTGCTCAGGCTGCCCGGGCCCCCACATGGGGCATCAGAGCTCCAGCTGCTGCTGACACACATCACCACACCCTGAGCAGCGTCACCCACACAGTTTATCATCTCACACACCTGCAGGACAGACACCTGAGACCGTGTCCTGGGACTAACTCCAAGGTCTGGTAGCCCCTTCCTCTCCCAGGATCTAGGGCCCCCTGCATTGACTGGGGACCCTATCCTCTGTCTACACAGCCTGCCATGCAGCCTCTTTCTGGCCCTGCTGCTGTCACCATGTGACTGTTTCTGAGCACAGGTCCAGGGTTATGGCTGTTAAGGCTCATGGGATTGGTTCCCCCTGATGATACACAGTAACATCCCTGTTTCCAGTCCTGTCTCAGTCCCACCTGCAGATTCCTCTTTCCTCTGTTAAGAACACATATTTCCACGTTCATGGAATTAAGACATGGACATCTCTGGAGCCATTACTCTGCTTTACAGAGAGGTTTCTCTTGGAAGCTTCTACCTCTCTGGGCTTTGTTGGAGGCAATAGATAAGGCCATCCAATATTTCTATGTTCTTCTCTATCTATAGGGATGGTTTTGCTCCCACCACCCATGCCAACATGAAGAGATCACTAGTGTTGATCATCTCAGCATGGGTCCATGTTCCCTACTCTGCACATCTCTCTTCTCTCTAGAGCCCTCTCCACTCCCTCCTGAGTGGGCAGGACCCTCTGCTGAGTGTCCTGAGTCTCTTCACTCATGTCACAGTCACCCCCACATGCAGCTCAGTCAAGGTGTAACTCTGTCTCTCTCTTTCTCTCTCTGTTTTTTGTTTGCCAAAGAGATTTATTCAGAAACAAAATGTCATTAGGAAACAAAATGTCATCGCCTACCAGGCTCCATGTCTCTCGGCTCCCACAGGCAGCCCCTGTTGTGCCTTTGCTCCCAGGGGGCAGGAGCATAGGGCCACACACAAGTCTGCACTGAGTTGTAACCTCTTCCCCCGTGACTCAGAGAGATGCTGCACAATCTGTTCTCTTAGTTCTTTATAATCAGGTGCAGTCCTGGACATTTTGATCTCTGTAAAAGTTTTCCAAAAAAAAAAACCTAGTTTTTGCTGGATGGGTTTGTGACTGGTGACTTGAAAAGTATAAATTGATGGTCATTTTGATCAATTGGTGTCCAGGCTCTCCATCCTAGGTATTCAGCTTTATGGCTCAGCTCTCATGGAAAATTGCAGCATGATTGTGTGTTTGTATGTGTGTGTGCATGCCCACATGTATGAATCTAAAAGATAGATGTATCAACTAAATGTTTGCAAACATTTGCCCCTATAAATTCTGTTGCTGTCTTATAGGAAAATAGACGTAGGCCCTGATGTGTTCTGCATCTAGAGTCCTTCACGTATGTCTCTTGAAGATTGGCAGAAGGAGCAGTTCCAGGCCTGTGAGTGACTCTGTTCTCTCTGGGACTGCTCAGCTTCTGGCTGAGCCGGAGACTTCTGTTCTCTGTGTGGACAAAGACGCTGCACCCTCTGTGGGGGTGGGGTGGGTGCAGCTGTGATGTCACACAGCTGGGCTGGTGGGGTGACTGGTCATGGGTGCTGAAGGGCTCCTTAGTCCTTGGGTTCCAAGCAGTCCAGGCCTGTGAGTGACTGTGTATTCTCTCTGGGTCTGCTCAGCTTCTGGCCTCCCTACACAGATGCTGCACCCTCCATAAGGGTGGGATGGGGTGTCCTGTGACATCTCTGATCCTTCATCAGTCTCTGGCTCCTTCTCTTGCTTGGTGGGCTGTAGGCTGGGGTCATAGGCTTTCATTTTAGGGATCATAATCTCCCCCAAAAAACTAAGTATCTGGGGTGAGGTTGTTGTGCCCTTGTTATGGGGCGGCTGAGGAGTCGTTGAGTAATAATGGGTCCCTCTCTCTGCAGGGTCTGTCACTCTGGATCCAAGTTCTTTCCTTTCTAATATTGTGCTCTCTCCTGACTAGAAGAGTCTGACCTGCAACTATGATGGCATGAAAAATGGATTTTTGGCTTGGGGTCTTGAGGGCATCACATCAGGGTGCTGTTACTGGGAAGTAGAGGTCAGGAGTGGAGACAGCAGTGAGTGGGTGCTCGGGGTCTGGAGGGAAGATGAGAAAATGAGATACAAGGCTCCATCCCCCATGGATGGTTTCTGGGTTGTGGAGCTGTTCGAAAAATTCTTTAAAGCCTTCACTAGCCCTCATTCTTTGCTGCCCCTTAGGCAGGTTTCCCCAGAGGGGGGTTTTCCTGGACTATGCTCAAGGGGACGTCTCCTTCTATGACATGACTGATGGCTCCCACATCTTCTCCTTCCCTCCTGAGTCCTTCTCTGGGACCCTCTTTCCATACTTCAGATGTGTCTCAGGAGACGTGTCCATGACTATCTGCTCCCTGGAGGCTGGGCCCCAGAAGCCCTCTGTGCCCATGAACAATCCTCCTTCTCTGGAGGAGCCTGTGAGTCCCCCAGGGGAGGGGATCCCCTCAGGCTCTGGTGTGGATGGGGCTCCCCCAGGGCCTGAAGCCCCCCTCCTCCCCTGCACCCCTGAGACTGTGTCCCCATGAGGCCCCTCCCTGCCCAGCCCTGCCCTGGGCTCTTCTTGGGGCTGCAGGTTCCCTGTGGACAAACCTGTGAGTGAGTCCCAGATGCTGGAGTCTCATCCTCCTGCTCTGGGTGCAGATTCCTGGGCCGTGGCTGAGAGAACAGTCAGGTCAGGCCTCGTGCTGAGGCTACAAAGGTTAGAATTGACTTACTTTGAACTGGTTTGGGGTAGGATGAACTTTTCCATTGGAAATACTTTTTCATTTGGTAAAGAAATGTTTCATGGGTTACTCATGCTGTTTAGACAAGAAAGAGGATCAGCTCTGAATTACTCTCCTAAATTCACAGAAGTTAACTTCATCCAACTTGAGTTTATGCGGAGGAAACCAGAGGCTGAAGGAGGGTGCCCAGATCTATACTGATGTGTCTGGACTCTCTGAGCAGAACAGCCGGGCAGCCGACATTGTCACGGAAATGGTGAATGATGGACTTTTAGAGGAGCTTAGTATTCTACTTCATCTGCTTCTGAGTTTGGAAGGGAAGAAATGCACCTACTTTTCCAGCTGTCATAAAATTTCTGTTGTTTGAAAAAATCTTGTGGTGTGTTATTGTGGGGAGTTCAGGAGAATCATTTGGGTTCCCCTTTTGTGTCAACTTCCATTGAAAGCAGATAACTGCTCCCTGAATTAAGATGAGAATGGAGAAGAGACTCTTAGACTTGGGGTGACTTGGAAAGCTGTGACCTGAGCTCCAGGAACCCCTGTCCTGACTCAGCATGTCCTGAGGCAAAGGGTCACAGGAACCACAGCTGCCAGAGGAAGCAGGATCCTGAGCCCCAGACCTGCAGGGAGGAAGGTGTGATCCCTCCCCCAGGGATACTGATGTGGTTCTGATGGGAGGAGAAGATAGAGAAGGGGACGTGATGAAGGAGTCAGATGTCAGGCAAGTGTGCCGGCCATTAGAAAAGGCGCCATGTAACAGATTTTATATTTTCTCTGGTGTTGTGTTGTCATGTGTGTTAATTTGTGTTTAGTATCCATTTCCTTCCTCTCCTTAACCTTATGTTTTTATATAAGTTGTTGGAGCTTATACTTGTAAGAAGGTTTTGGGTAACAAAATAGATAAAGGGAATGTGATCGAATTTAAGAAATAAATAATATAGCATGTCAGCTGCAAAGATGGGGCTGTCATCTCCTCATTTTGGGGAAGGGTGAGCATATCCTCACTTGTAGAGGGAGCTTTGTCTTGATAGTTATAAACATGCAGTTGTGTTGTGTGTGTAATTAGTTCAAATGTGTGTAAGGAGCTGAATAGTCACAGGTGTGGACTCTCTCATCATCCATTATTGCTTCCTGGCCCACGTCCTCCACGTGCCCTCCTGTGTGAACTGGAGCTGGACCCCAGGAGCGTGTCCCTTGGCCCCTGCACAGTGTCAGGATGAGCCCTGGAGTGGATACTCCAGTCACAGTCGAGGACACGCGTCGCTCCTGGCTGCGCTGCTTTTCTTCTGGGTCCCGTGATGGGATGTTGGTCATTTATTTTTATTTTCTAGCTGCTGGTTCTCCCTCAGCTATTATCCTTGAAACTTTTCCTTCTTCTGTTAGGGGGACAGAATGTTCTGAGCAAACTCCATACAGGTTTTGTGGACTCCACCCCCACTCCAGACCAAAGCCATCAAGACACTGGGGATGACAAATCCCATCACCACCAAAAGGAAGGTTGCTGGGACCTGAGGGTGGAGTTAAACAGCCAGGTTTGGTATAAAAACAGACACATGGGCCTTGGTTCTCTCTTGACCTCAAGGCTCTTGGCTCTTTGCCAGCTCTCAGCATGCCATTAGGATTCCAGGTCCTTGGAACAGACAGGACTCATTCACGGATTTATCTCCCTCCTTTTCTCACTGAGAGATTTATTTCTGTTTCTTTTGTAAATAAACCTTTTTTTTTTTAAACTTTTGTGTGTGCCTGCAGTTGAGTATTAATAATTCCCTTTCAAGTGCACGGGTGAGGACCCACAGTCAGGCAACCTGTTTCATATCAGGGTGCCCTGTAACACTTCTATTAAGAAAAATTATTAAAAACCTACAAATATGTAAAAATTGAGTGTTATGAAATTTCAGTCTCATGTGGGGCATTACAGAAATTATGTAATGAGAAACATTTATGTAATTATCTAGGGAATATATAATGTTTGACTTGTCATTTTATTATTAACCAAAAGAAGTGACTTCTGTGAAGATATATGCTGTTTATTGAGTAGACAAGATCATTTCAAATAATTTAGTTTAATTGCCCCATTGACATCAACTGCTTTTGTAATAATCTCAGCATATTTATTTCAAACTGTTTTTCCTGTTGGAAAATGAAGGAATTACTCTTGAGAATCCTCTTTGTAACAGGTTACAATTATACCAATTGTATCACTGATTAATTTTTCAATAAATGAGTTATATGTGTATGTGAGATAATGTTTAGGATTTCATGAAAAGTACACATTATTTCTTACTTTTAA